CAGGAAAGAAGCCTTAGTGAGCACTTGCTGTCATACGAAGGTTTCTAATGACTCCACGATGCAGAGAATGCTGAGGGGTACGATAGTCGTTGTACTGGAGAAGATGACATAGGAGGGACAAAAAAAATTAAGTGTTTACATCCACTTTATGCTTGGTAATTGGGTCTTTAAATAAAAATTGAAATGGATATTTAACTGCAATTGCTGGAGCAATTGAACTGATGGGAATGACCTCCCACGAAGGAATTCTAATTGATCTTTCAGCCATAAATACGTGTGGAAAAAATGGCATATGAAATTAAAATAAACATTAGGGTCTTAAAGGATATTATTTCTGAACTCTTAAAAAAAATTCAGAGCAAAGAAATTAGTTGGGGTCTACTGTCATACTCCATGTAGTCAAACAGCCCTGTTTCATATGTTATGATGGAGACAAAGGTTTCTTTCCTACGTCAGTTTTGGCTGGTTGTGTTTACTAATTTCATTTAATCTATGGAAAAAACAGTCTAACTTGTAAATAGCATGATCTGTCATGTGGGCGATAAAATCAATAAAGACAGAGTCCAGGTTGGTTTCTTCAGGTAGTATTAAAAAAAAAACAAAGATGGATTGGGTACATTTGACTCGGTGACTAAAGTAGTGGGTGACTTTAGAAAGCTGCCCTATCTCTGCCTTGGCTTATGCCTGTACTCAGGGGATTCTTTTAGTTTTGAAAAGTAATGTTTTAATTACTTTTTCAGTTACTTATTCAGTGGTTAAAGAGCTGAGATTTTCTGGCACTGCATACCCAACACTGTTTTGTACAGTATTTAGACAGAAGTGCTGCTGTACGTAATCTGTGTTACTTGTTGATGAAGTGAATGCTATATGTGTGAGTGCACACGCGTGTGTATATCTGTGTGCGTATACACAGAATCACAGAATCACAGAAGGTTAGGGATTGGAAGGGACCTCAAAAGCTCATCCAGTCCAATCCCCCTGCCGGAGCAGGAACACCCAGATGAGGTTACACAGGAAGGCGTCCAGGCGGGTTTTGAATGTCTGCAGAGAAGGAGACTCCACAACCTCTCTGGGCAGCCTGGGCCAGGGCTCTGTCACCCTCACTGAGAAGAAGTTTCTTCTCCAATTTGAGTGGAACCTCCTGTGTTCCAGTTTGTGCCCATTACCCCTTGTCCTATCATTGTTTGTCACCGAGAAGAGCCTGGCTCCATCCTCGTGACACTCACCCTTTAAATATTTATAAACATGAATGAGGTCTCCCCTCAGTCTCCTCTTCTGCAAACTAAAGAGCCCCAGCTCCCTCAGCCGCTCCTCAGAAGGGAGATGCTCCACTCCCTCCATCATCTTTGTAGCCCTACGCTGGACTCTCTTACAGCTTCAGACTTCATGAGATGGGCAGTTGATGAAATGGTTGTATGTGGGAAAAGTATTGGTACTTAATGTTTGAGAGATAAAAGGGGGAAGTAAATTTATTTCATATACTGTAACTACATTACTAAAAATGCGTGGCTGAGATTGCTCCCTTTCTCTGTGCAGAGTAGCTTGCAAGCTGGTGTACCTTGCTTTAGCAATGCAGTTTGGACGGCAAGTTTTTTGAATTTTTTCAGTGTTAGTATTTTGAAAGGTGATATGCTTTTTTTTCCCCAGTTTTCATCTCCTGTTTCTATTTTCTCTGGAAGGTTTGTTTTAACCATCCACACAGCCGAAACCTCTTTTCATGAGGTCTTGTTCTTACACCTCTCACTTAATGAAACGTTTTCCTCTGCCCTTGACAAATGCAACTTGCCCACTTGCATCCACCTCTTCAGAATGCCTCTCTGAAGTGGGTTTTCATCATAAGATGCTTCAACTAGATCAGCATTGCTTTGACTCTGTGCTGGTTGCCTTCTCCACAGAAAGAGGGTGACTGTTTTACGGTCCTTTCTACCCTGTCTCCAGTTTATGTATCCCTTCTCATCTGTTAGTAAAATCTTGACTGTTGATTCACCTTTGCCAGTGATGTGCATGGGTAAAAATGTTGAGAGAGGTACCTCTGTGCTGTTTCTCTGTTTTCAGAAGAATGCCCATTTACCAACAAATAGGAAGGATGATGCTTAAGTCCTGTGGCAGTTATCAACACGTGTGGTGTGAATGGAGTGAGCTGATGCAGCAGCTTGTTGAAAAGTGGTCTCGCTGCCCTTCCATGCCCTGTGTGCCTCTGTCTGCTGAGGACCTCGGGTCCTCAAACCAGGAGCTCTTTGGGGTAGGGGTCACTTCTGTGTGTCCTGTGCTGAGGGTGAGCGGAAGGAGAACATAAAGTGACTGCCTTGAATGATGCCTCTTGAAAAGGACGTGATGGAGGTTGGAATGGGGATTTATGTGGGTTTCTTGGTCAAACCCTCTGTGTTTCATTATACCCCTTGGTAAACACGAGTAGTGATAATGGAAGGAGTTGCTGCAATATTGTTATTTAGATGTAGCGATGGTCAAAAATACTGTTGGACTGTGTGTCTCCAGATGGAGAACTCTCCTTCAGTATGGACTGCTGGGTTGGCTTCTGACAGATGTCATAGAAAACCATGCTTCAGTTGCCACTACAGAAGCAAATCCCAGGATTACCATCTAATATGGATGATATATATGTTTCTTTTCTGGGCTCTTCACTCTGAAAGCTTTTAGATGACCAGAAGATCATTTTGGTAGCTTAAAACTGAACAAATGAGCGATAAACTGGAAATAAAGCCTGTACAAGAGAGAAATGGGTGTTTGGTTTGGGAAATAATTCTCTTAAAATCACAGGCACTTCAGGTGGGAGGTAAGCCGGTGCGTCTGGCTGCAGCCTGATAAAATCTGCTTCAGGGGAGAGGGCACATAAAGAAGAAAAGATCCCTTTTGTCTCTTGCTTTAATAAAATATTCTATTTGCATGCTTACTGAGTTGAAACATTGGGCAGTATAAACTGTAATCACCACCAAATACAAAATCAAGTAATTTTGTGGTCTTTTCCTCTTTTTAAAAACAGATAGGGCTTTATCCTGAAATTAGCTATATAAATCATGACTGAAGCTATTATTGTTCTGCCTCAGCAGTGGCACTGATGCCCTTAACCCATATATTTTCTAGCAGTACCATTTCCCTACTTTGAAAAAGAAAAGCTGGAAATGCATGCAGTTTGCAGCTTGGATGTCCAAGTTGTGCTGTCAGGCTCAGATCAGACTGTCTGCTAACTCCAGTGAGCCGAGCAGAGCTACTGCTGGTAGCGATGCTTTATTCCCCACATGCTGTAATAGTGTCAGTAGCTACCACTGACCTTTTCTTTCCCATATATTATGCAGAGATCATGTCATCAAAACTTCAGGTTCCCGAGTTCTTATACTAGACGCATCATCTTCTCACATGCTATGACTTTTCCCTGTAGCACCCACAAATCTAGCGGGTTCGCCTGCAAGATGAGGGGTTCCTCAGGGCTGCGGAGATGCAGGACAAGAGTCCTCCTGCTCTCCAGGAGCTCTGCAAATAAGCGAAAGCAGTGAACAAAGGAAAGCAACAGAACAGCTACAACGTGATCAGAGGTGAAGGTTTTGCTGGGTTAGTTTTAACCATGATCAGGTCTCCAATCTGCTGCACTGCACTGTCACAAACTCTTGATGTGGGTTCAGGTGAAGTGACAAGAGCAGGGAAAACGGGGCAGTGCTGATTTATGTTGG